CTGAACTGAGCGGCATTTTGGTGGATGTTGGCACAGGTGGAAGACCAGCGTGTTGATGTGAAGGCGGAAGAGTCCGGCCTCGATCACAACAACATCACAATCTGTAAGAGAAAATGACACCGTTTTACTGCAAATATTTTTACTCGGTGTAATGGCATTGCTACGAAATGCACAAACAAGTGAATATTTAACAATCCATACTGCAGTAAGCTACAGCATAATAACCTAGACTCCTAGAGCAATGGTTCCCATTTGGTGGGACATGAGGCATGAGGATGATCACACACACTTGCTGAGTAGGCGCATACCCGATCAGGACAGGCATTTGACACGAGACCAAAACAGTTAAGACATGTATATACTGCCTTCAGTCTCCTCCTGTCTTTTCTTTACTGGTACAAGCCATGTCTGCAAAAATATGTGGTTACGAAAAGCAGATTCGGCTGAATACGCGCTCTAAATACATTGTAGACGCCCTCAGGCGGGAGGTATGAAAAGGACAAGTAATAAAAAATTAATGTTGTCGTAAACGAGAATGGTCGCCGCGGGGCCACTTAAGGTCCAATCTCTGAGGAATCAACGACCTGACTGAAATTTCTGTTACTTTGTGGCATCAGAGAAAGCAGTTTCGCGGTTTTATTCTTTAAATATCCTTTAACACACGGTTACGGACATACAACAAACACGCATGCATACGCGCGAGCGCACACACACACACACACACACACACACACACACACACACACACACACACACACACACACACGCGCGCGCGCGTACGTGTGTACATATATGTATATACACGATCTGATTTACCTCATACAATATCACAGGTGGAAAAGGCTGACGCTTTAACCACTGACAAAACAGGGGACAAAATGCAGATCACTGAAGATAAAAAGTGAAGGAAGTCAACCCTCTCCAATCCCATTTCCACATTCACCGGCTAGATGTAATAAAAACAAAAGTATTTTTACTGTGAAAAATACGTTATATATCTGCTACACGGAAGACAGCTTCCCTTGGACTGTTACAATGGAAGGGAGCACCGAGTAATGATTCTGGTTTTGGGTCTAAGGTAGACTAGTATTGCGACTATTCTTTAAGCAATATAGGCTACAAAGTAAGTATGCGTTAGCGAATGTGTGTAGGGTGGAGGCTGCTGTGAATGAGTCGATGAGTGAATAAGTAAGGGACTGAGTGAGTGATTTTGTACAAAAAAAAACACGCTGTTCTTCATGCTGTTCTTTAAGAAAGGCATTGCCTCACGTAACATTCCTCATTACTCACGAGAAGAGAAAGTCAACCAAGTCCTCGCAAACGGGTTTCAAAGCTCGTGAGTGTTTTTCTCACTTTCTTATCTCCAAACCTCCTGCATATCCCACCTCCAGCCCACCTAAATCCCCAAGATATCCTTATCGCCAGGAGACCTGCGTGCTTCCTGGCCAGCCCTTCCCACAACTCAGTCTGCCATACTCGCCCTGCCACATCATAGCCGACCTTCCTCCCTGGGATGTGATACTTGCTTCCCCTCTTCCACCCTCTTGTGTCCCCTGAAGCTCAACGTTCAAACATGCCATGTATTTTTTTCTCTCGTTTTCTCATTCCACGTTCGCTTCTCTCTATGCCCTCTCTCCTATCTACATATGCAGGAGTTTATAATGGATTCTCTTCAACGCCCAAACTCACTCAGCCTCTCTCTCTCGTCATATACCAATTTTATTCCTTTGTATTTCTAAATGTTTTGCCTTTTTCACATAGCTCTTTCTGATTAATTGTGAGAATATATTCAACATTTAGGAATTCCACCCCTTGATATGGAACTGCCTCTTCTCTGCCAAGGACATAAATATCTGTGCCACAGTATCTGTCAAGACCTGATATCTAACTCACGATTGATCCCCGAATGAAAACCTCGGTGGCCCAGCAGTGCCATTCAGATTCTCTCTCTCTCCTTTCTGACAACAGTAATTTTCAACACTCCTCTAGACTTACAATGGCCGTGCTCTCGTCACCTTCCCACCCACCAGAAGTCCCCCCCACCCCTCCCCCAACCGCGTTTCCTCGACTCCCTCCATCCCCTCCACTGCTTCTCTTCACCCGACTAGCCTAGCCCCCTTAACCTCTATACTTTTCCACTATCTTCGCCGGTGTTACGCTGTTATGGCATGTCTTGCTACTTTTCAAGGACCCGGATGGACGTAAACCACGGAATGTAATCTACAATATACTCGATCTTTATCGTGTTCATAACGTGATGAGTTACAAGAACGATTACACCAATACAGACAAAACGATGTATATGCTGTGAATACGAAGGAAAAAATAGATGTAAATTGGGATGCGCTATAATCCTGTCATTCAAAATTAATTCCACACACTAACAGACTGCCTAAAAATACACTCTGCCTCCGTTGATATCACTGATACAAGAGATAGGGCCTAAAATATGTACTGAATTTCGACTCGAATAAATAAGATATTAACAAAACTGGAGGGTTTTGTGATTTTTACCACTAAATCTTTATGAGCTATCTCTCCCACTCGTGGGCAAAAGTTAAAGTAAAATATCAAAGAGAGTGAGTATGTGTATGCATATGTGCACGTGCGTGAGAGTGTTTTCATATCGCTCGCGTGCGTGTGTGTGTGTTTGTTTGTTTGTTTGCTTGTGTGTGTGTTTATATATGTGTGTGTGTGTGTGTGTGTGTGTGTGTGTGTGTGTGTGTGTGTGTGTGTGTGTGTGTGTGTGTGTGTGTGTGTGTGTGTGTGTGTGTGTGTGCGAGCGCGCGCGTCCTACTCAGGAATCTACTAGAGGTCTGGCGCGCATCTATCTCAAGCGTGCGGGCGTGCCACTCGTTAATTCTCTGGTCAGAAAAATATGGCGTCAGCGATTGGTAGACGGTTGACGCAAACGCTTTGGGGTCCATTACCACTCTGATTCTGAGTAGCCACTTAAAACTTATTCTTAGCAATCCGTTTCAAATGAGGCAAGCGAATAAGAATAAGAAAATATTACTTTTCCCATTCCTATTCTTGTTGTAATTTTAGATAAATTAAGACCGTCAAATGAACCGACGGCATGATATCTTCCAAACGAGCATCACTATTTCCACATAGTAAGTGGATGACGATAACATGAGCTACCATGAGGGGACACTAATACACTCCCCCCCCTCACTCCCTCTCCCCAGCCTTCCTAATACCAAACACCCACACACTTAAAAAATATATCCATATCACTATCACATAAGCTATATGTATGTGCCTATATATGTCTCTATGATATATAATATATATATATATATATATATATATATATATATATATATATATATATATATATATATATATATATATATATATATATATATATATATATATATATACACACACACATTCATCTTTACATGTATATACCGTATACATATATACATATACCTAAATGTTTCAAAGCCATGCATATATCTTTTATAGAGCCGTCTTAAAAACAACAAAAACAAAACGGATACCGCATAATTTCCGGTTTGATATCACCGCTACTTATGAATGCTAATCGCTAGCCTTATCTCCATGCAATATCCCCGATTGCTTAGTTTGAAAAGTCAAGAACGGGGAAAGGGATGTGAAAACACAGATAAATACAAAATCCCACAGCCTATATATATATATATATATATATATATATATATATATATATATATATATATATATATATATATATATATATATATATATATATATAAGCATACGCATATATACATACATACATGTATATGTGTACAAATACACGCGTATACATGTACACACATAAACATTCGTAAATGTATACATGCATATACACATACACATATATTTTACATATATAAATATTTGTATACCTGTATATATGTAACTTTTGTATGTATGTATGTGTGTGTGTGCGTTTGCATGTATGCATGTATGTACTGTACCATTACTATATACCAAGCCTCTTATCTGCAGTACTCGGGAGAAAAATTACCTATCAAACTTCAGGACGAGCCATATAATCTAGCATAACTTACGTGTTATCAATGTCACAAATTCGTAAACGACGTAGGTTTCAGATGTTGACTTCAGATTCCGGAAGGTCGGTCTTAATGAAATGTGTCGTACATCCTAAGCTATCTGAACCATAGTTATTTTCGAAACTGAAGTCGGCTGTCCGTAAATGTACCAGCTACAACCGCAAGCAATCTGGTGCCTGCGTTGGCACGGCGGAGAAAATAAACGGAACCTTCCCCACGTCTAATTTCAACGTGAATGAAAGTTGGAATGAATTCAATATGGACTTTAGAATATCAGAATTGGAGAAGAGAGCGAAAGCAAACTTTAAAAGAGCCACTGCTCTGGAAAACCAGTCTTTAAAGAGTGCCGCCTGCAATCGATCTATGCCTGTCAAGAATAATTTCGGAACTATTGCATAGGTTACGTAGGCTGTACCTCGTCCACAGGTCTATATGGATTGAGTCGGAAATACGTTAGTCTACTGCACATAAAATGTTACAAATTATTTTCTTATTGTAGCTTTTGCTGGCAACAGATAGAGGCAGCGAGGTATGGCCTATACTATAAAAATGATAATAAATAAAACTTTTTTCCAAATATTACTAGAAAAAATACTGTCAAAGTAAATGTTGATTCAATTTCTCGTTGCTATGAATTATAATTAGAATAATATTTGCACGAGGCAAGATCCGTGAAACTGATGTTTCTGGTGCCATTTTATAAGGAATGGAGATACATGGTGGTCTACTTATATTCCTTAAATATTAGTATAAACAAACGTTGTATGTATCTGTTCACTGTTTTGCATAATCGGAATATTATAAATTTTAAACCACAAACCGTGCCATTTTTCCTAAGGACCATGGAAAAAATATATATACATATGTAGATAGATAGACAGATATATAGATAGATATGGATATATATGATGACAATTCATTTGTCGTCGTATAAATTAAATTCAGTGAAAGTCACGTCCAGAATGACTCGACAATAGAGAACGCCGAAGCTTTCGAGGGTTGACGAGACAGAGACAAACTAGTGCTGCGCCAAAACTATTTCCGAGAGAAGTGCT